ATATTGTATATATAAAAAATATTTTAATTTAAATTTCTTTAATACAAAAGTTAATTTTGTGTATATATATTATATATATAAATTGTGATATACACAAAAGTTTGGCTATATTAAAAAATTTAAATTTCAAAATTCACCATTGACACATATTTTTTGCATTGAGAGCACTTCGGTTGCACATATTGACGTGAGGTGTATGACACAATGGAGAAAAATATACACTCATATGCACATAAGAAAGATGATTTTGAAAACTCCAGAAAAATTCACCTTGGTACATAAATTTCTTTCTAAATAAATTTCTAAAAGTATATTAATTTTTTGGTGCCATATAAAATAGCATATAAAATATTTCCTAAATCATTTGTATACATCATAATTGTTATTAAAGTTATATCAAATTTATGAATAATTAAAATAATTATAATTATCAACGTTGTAAATTTGTTTCTTGATTTCATTTTCATCAATGAAGACGAAGAAAACGAGTAAGAGTACTTTACAAAGGGACTCGTAGGAATTTTTAATTTTCTTCCTTTTGAAATAAAAATTTTTATTGGGAAATATTTTTCACTGCAAAAATCTCTGTGTAGTCGACGGAATCAAAAAATTCTCAGAGTACAAAGGATTAATAATATCAGTTCAGTGTTTCATATTTCACAGCGTACAGTTCAAAAAGGTAATAATCTACCCTAATAATTTAAATTTAATTTCATGATTGAAATTCTGAACTATATCAAAAAGAAAACATCGTTTTACCTAAACTCGATAGTCACAGAATGGATTACACGATTCGTGCAAATAACCGTGGACTCAAAAATTGAAACGAATCTTCGAACAACAATTTGAAATTCAAAATTCGAATACAAAAAGACCAATTCGACGAATTATCAAATTTTCCCTGCTCATGCGAATCCACCTTATTGTTTCACGACGAAACAATGAAGTTTCTATAATTCCCGAATTTTTCGAGCCTCTGTGACACTCGCATACCACTGCCATAATGAATATTTTTTCTAAAATTTATTCCAAAAAACACCGTTTTAATGCACATTGTATAACTTTAAAACGTTCATGCTCGGATAATATCCTTGCAGGTTTTCAGCAGGTTTTTCGTGCCTGCTAAAAACGTTAATCCTTGGTTAGACTTCGTTCCTACCTTTGTAATACTCCTTTCGTAGAGATCTCGCAATTATAATTTGCGAGTAAATTATACCTTTCTACCGGATTTGCGAGAAGTTAGATTTGCGTGGGAGATAGATGTTTAGAGAAATTCCTGACGTAATTATGCTCGTAGAGACGTTTCACCGTGCACTAGTATCTCGTGGTAAACTAAATTTTGTTCAAAAAATTGCCCACCGTCACCATTCCCGAATTTATCCTGTATACGGGAGATATTTCGACGATTTTCTAAACCAGTGCTTGTAATAATGCTCGCTAGCAGTGTCAGATTTCTCCCATTTTTATCGTACAAGATAACAATGAAATCCGAAAATGAATTGTGCTGCAGCTTGCAGTTCACGTTGTTGCGTTGCCGGATTAAGGTACGCTTAATTAATTTTACACGAGTTTCCCTCGCGCAGGTTGCAAAGTAATTTGTCCTGTGTCACCGATTTCGCTAAATCATCGATACAAAATGCATTACTTATCTTCATGTACATGCAATGCATCTCATAAACATGGTTCACCTAAATGTTTC